TACTTCCACAAAATTTCATGTAAATTAAATTATTTTTACGTGAGAAAAAAATTAAAAACTGAAAAATCAGTTTTTCGCCATTTTCTCGAAAAATTTGAGATTATGTTGAAAAATGTCAAATACAAAAGTTTTAGATTTTTTTATTATATATAACTTTTGTATGGAACATTCTCCACTAGGAGGTCACCCTTCGCCGCAAGTCGAGAAAAACCGATTTCAACCCCTAAACAGCACCCCCATTTCACCATTTCACATTATCTCGTGTTTAAACATTTTTTTTTCGTTTTGTTACAACCTTAACTTCATTTTCCAGCCGGTCGTTGCCTGTTATTAATTTTTTTATCTACAAAAGTTATCGGCACTAGACTAAGATTCAAAATTGAAATCAGAGTTCAGATATTGAAGACCAAACTTGAGATCTGAAGAAGGACTATGGATTCGGACCTTAGTCTTCGAAATCAGTTTTTCAACTATTTCTTATCATAGTAATTCAAATGTGTAATGTAAATATGTAATAGGGGTCAAGACAGAAGATATTCTGCTATCTCACATTCTTATTCAGAGCATCAGCATAGCTATCCATACTGCTATGATAGTGCTTTTATTCTTTCCTGTATGGGGTTTAGAATGCAAAGGATCAATATTTACTGTAATAATCCTCACATTTCTCATCGGTTTTTGCGGACTAATGCATGGTAAGTACTCCACACAACATATAGATATCAAAAAAAGTGCGTAGTAACAATTCAAAAACTGCTAGAAAAATTAAACTCATTATTTGTGTTAATACTTTCGTAGGTTTCATTATTTCTGTTATGTGTAAAGATCACACTATGGCGCATTACTGCTCGGTTGGAAGCTTTTTCCCGTTAATAGTAATGTCCGGTGAGTCCTTATTCTTTTTATTTTTCGCAAAAATTATTTTTTATTTTAATCTAAAGTATTATTAAATTTGACTCTAATTTGCTCTTCTATATTCTTGATATTTTTGTTATTTAAAAAAGTTCTTTAATTTAATTATCTAGAGTATATTGTTAAATAATATCTTCACATATTCTTCACATATTCTAAAAAACGTTATTTTATTCAAATAATATTCTTATAAATCCTTATTCTCTAAATAATTGTGAAATTAAAAATATATTTTCTAGTATCGTTATAAAAATAACATGATTTATGTAACTTATCAGCAGATTAAAAATCTATTAACATAATAAATATATTTAAAATTTTGAAAAATTAAAAAAAAATAGAACGAAAATTTTGACCATAAATACGACTTAAATTCTTTGTATTTCTACTAAGAATATTGGAGAATTTTTTTATAAAAATTAAAAATGTCAATCTTGACGAAAATCGACTTTGTTTATTTTAATCAAATTTTTTTAGTAGAAACAAAAACTTGTTTTTTCATATTTTTTCCTTAATAGAGATTTTCAGGACGAACAATTTAATGTGGTTATTTTTTGTTTTTCAATAATTTAAACAGACGTTAAACTAAATATTTACAAAATAAAATAAATTAAAAATATTAAAAAATTCATATCTAGGAAACTAATGGAGATAAAGATCTAAAAAAATAATTGTGTATATATTTCAATATGAGGAATATATTAAAAAATCGGAACGGATCGGTGACGAAGGCCGGCGATTTGGCATAGAATGACCCATATCCTATATGTATTAGATACCACGGAAAATTCGTGTGGATTTTCAAAAGATATTTATAGGGGAAGAACGACACGAACTTTCCGAGGTACCTAATATATATATTTACATATGTACATATTTATATATTTATACTCTCGCACACGCTCACAAACTTACACATACATAATATTAGAACTCCTGCTCAATTTTTGAATAATCATTTTCCAACAATGATACTGACTGGAGATAACGACTTCGAGAGCAAAAATGAATAAAAAATAAAGAAAACATTTGTATATGTATAAACTTGGGTACGTGCGAGAGTATAAATATACATATAAATATGTATACATGTAAATATATGTATATATATGTAAATATATATATACATATATGTAAACATGTAAATAGGAGATGTAACTTTACCACTGTCGATCCCAAATCTGAATAAAAAGAAGGGCAACTCATCATTTATTATTGTTTCTTAAATAAGAGAACTTTTTCGTTGCCAATTACCAACATTACATAAACAGTCGATATAAATCGAATCTAAAAATATAAAATGATTCGTAAAAAGGATTAGTTGGAAAACAATAATTGATGTTTTATCGTATTTTCAAGTTTTCATATTTTCCATAAGATGATTAATTTTTTTGTAACAAATGTCCTAATGAAAAATATAATCTAATTAACGTTTTTGGTGTAATATTACTCGCACTTTATCCAATTTGGAATTACTTTCTAAATTAAGGCATAACTAACAGTGATTTTATAACGATGCGTGATTTTTTGCGAATAAGGATTTTATTCACTTTATTTCAATGTACCAATTTTTCCTTAAGTCTTACGTTATTATAATGATTATTTTCGGTTTCTACAAAGAAAAATACGAGTACATTTAAAAACATAGAAATAAAACAATGTTACAGTGGTCGCGAAACCCTCGAAAATTGGTTATACCTATACTCTCCTTTGTAATTGCTAAATTTAAATATTTTTATTACATAGCAATATACATATACACGGTGGGCCATTTTAATCTCCCCACCTGAATTTCTCGGAATCTAAGCCAGATAGAGAAAAATGGTCCAGACAAAAGTAGAAGGGGACAGAGAGGGTCACCTAATGGTACCAAGGACCTTGACCTTGAACTCGATTTTCAAGGTTATTTCAAGATCAAAGTGATTTTTTTAAATGGGAACACCTATTTTTGATCCCGGATTTGAAAAGAGCGGGAAATTTTACGTTCAAAATGATATGTTTATCAAGGCAAGGTCATGGCAAGGTCGAATGAAGGTCAAGTTTGCGAATTTTGCTTTCCCAATTGAATATACCGGAACCTAAGTATCGTACTTCACTACTGCGCATGCATAAGTATCGTACTTTATTACTGCGCATGCGTAGGTATTGTACTAACCAATAACTTAAACCATAACCCAACACAACCCATAATCCAAAACGAGCCCATAACAATAATCGGACCAATAACCCATAACCCATATCAAAATAAAGACGGCGACTCCATAATGATTGCGAAAAAAAACAATGAATATTAAAAATCCTTAGTACGTACATGTCTTATGAATATTTTGAATATCTGTCTCATAAATACATACTTTGTTTAGTTGTTACATCAATTTGATTTTTCATAGTTATAAAGTACGATTCAATAATTCTTCGATTCTTCTCTTTTTTTATAAGTTTGTAAGATTTCGATTAACATTGCATTATCTACATTTTGTTAAGGTAAAGAACAGCTCTAAAACAGTCTCATAAATATTTAATTCAATTTTTAGATCAATTTGATTTTTTTATGGATTTAGATTTTGGAAAATCAAAGTTTTTTTTATGGGGCTATTTGAAAAATGTTGTTTTCGAACAACAGCCCACAACAAGAGCAAACTTTGAAGATCGTATTCGTCGAGCATGCGCTGTAATTCCAAGGCAAACTTTGCTTAACACCGTACGCCATTTCCAAAGGCGTTTGATTTTATGCCTTCAAGCAAATGGAGGCAACTTCGAACATTTGCTTCGAAGTTAAATTAATAATTTTTAAAATAGTGAGAGGCGAGGGGACTCACTTTAATCCAGCACTCCGAATAGTGAGAGACGAGGGGACTCACTTTAATCCAGCACCCCGAATAGTGAGAGGCGAGGGGACTCACTTTAATCCAGCACCCCAAAGGAAACAGTACTTACTACGTCCACGTCGTTGTTTCTGGGTAGCACTAAAAGTAAGGTTAATACAGTTAAAAAAACCCTCGAAAGTAGTGATTCCCATTTGGAAAAATCACTATGACCTTGAAATAACCTTGAAAATCGAGTTCAAGGTCAAGATCAGAGTACAGATAGGTGACCCCCTCGGCCCCCTTTAACATTTGTCTGAACCAATTTTACGTATTTGGCTTAGGTTTCGGAAAATGTAAGTGGGGAGTGTAAATTCGCAAATTTGACCTTCGTTCGACCTTGCCATGACCTTGATAAACATATCATTTTGAACGTAAAAGCTCTTTTCAAATCCGGGGTCAAAAATAGGTGTTCCCATTTAAAAAAATCACTTTGACCTTGAAATAATCTTGAAAATCGAGTTCAAGGTCAAGGTCCTTGGCACCATTAGGTAACCCCCTCTGTCCCCTTCTACTTTTGTCTGGACCATTTTTCTCTATCTGGCTTAGATTCCAAGAAATTCAGGTGGGGAGATTAAAATGGCCCACCGTGTATATTATATTGTTAATAGTAATAAAAAAAATTTTAGCCAATGTTAGTTTAGAGATAAGCTAAACTATTATTTTTCATTAACGGTTATAACAGTTACTGTTACTTTAAAATAACCGTTTATTTAAACAGTTATCGGTTATATAAACGGTTATCTTTTATAATATCTTATATCCTAGTCAGCATACATTTTTTTAATTTTATTTCTCATTATTTAAGTCATTTAAGTCATTTAAGAAATCTATTTTGAAATATTTCATTATTTAAAAGATTTGTGCAAATAAATAATAGAAGTGTTAAATTTTATGAACAAAGATTGATGTCAACTTGGTAATGAGACTAATGAGTAAGATCAATATTACATACATCCGTTTTTTTTGTCGTATGACGAATTTTTTAAGCATGTTAATTGGCTGCAAGACAAAGAGGATTTCAGACCTCTTTGTTCTATAGTCAATCAACAGGCTTAAAAAATTTGTCATACGACAAAAAACGGACGCATGTAATATTGGCCTAATACAGCGACAGTGCTTCTACTGGCAAGAAAGATAAATAGTAAGATCTTAAACATTACTATTTTATTTACTTGTAAAATCTAAATTTGAAAATAACCGTTTAAGCCCGATAACGTTTTTTTTTTAAATTCGATAACGGTTACTAAAGTTATTTCTCAATAACGGTTACTCAGTAACAGGTAACGAAATAACGCCCATCACTAGCTCAATTCAAATTAACATCAAGAATATCTAGTGAAAAATTATCTTACGTTAATCAAATTTTTATTAATACTCTAATTAACAAAATTATATAGGATGTATATGGCCGGTGGAAGGAATGCCAAAAGGACTTCGCTGGATTAGCTATGCATTGCCAACTACGTTACCCTCTATATCTTTAAGAGGAGTCATCTATAAGGGTTATTCCATATCCGAATCACAAGTTTATATTGGCTTTTTACTAAGTGCAGGATGGATATTATGTTCTTTTATGGTGACTGTACTTGGTGTAAGATCGAAGTCCTCGTGACAATTTTAGAAAACTCTTACGATAATTTCTTAGAAAGGAAACAGAGGCAGTTTCGCATAGAGACTACAACGTTCAGTTAAACTTAAATGTACAGAATGTTTCGTCTAATTTAATTTATTGATTTATGTACAATGTATAAGAAGAGATATAATTATTTAATGACCATTTGTGAAAAATTGTTTTAAAGGAATAAATTTAATATTTTTCTATTTAATTAATCGTAATTGTAAATTAAATTTTTTTCCTATTTTAAATCAATAATTATACTTTATTTTATTACATAATGTAATAATAATACAAAATTAATTAATCACTTCTGTATGATAGCAGTATTAAACGTTCTCAGAGAATATCAATAAATATTTTAGGTAAAAAATTAATCTCGTATGAGGCATTCAAACCGGACACCTTCAAAATATCGTCATTTTTAATTTTTTTTTAATTTGTTGACATATTCTATAGAAAATATGACATGTCTTATATTTTTATTTGTAGAATATTAGCAAATTAAAAAAAATTCAAATATGATGATATTTCAAAGGGGGTGGCACCCAGTTGGACACGGCTCAATTGGACACGAGCCACTCACAGCGCTTGAGACTACAAAGCTCCTAAGCACTGGTCGCTGTGATTGGTGGTGTCCAATCGAGACGTGGTCAATCGGGATCACCCCTTTCGAAGGTACCGAAATTTAACGTGGAATATGCCTCATATGTGGTATTATACTAAATATATACAGGATGTCTATAAAGTCCCACCCAGGCCATATATCTCGGAAACGGCTTTAAAAATGGAAAAATGTCTCAGATAAAAGTTATAGGACATTATGGGGGATATATGATGAAAATATGAATTTGATCTTGAGTGACCTTCTGTAGGTTAGAATATTTTGAATGACCATTATTTTCTTAAAAAGAATCATTTTTTATTGCATATTCTTATAGCTTACCTCAAGAGCTTTTTAAAACACTATAATAAAATATTTTTTCATGAAGTACTTTTCGAGTTATAAGGCTTGAAAGTTACAGTACCGCCGGCATTAGCATTACCCAAGGTGTCCGACCGATAGCTAAAACCTCTTGAATGTTGTTCAGAATTATAACCTACACAGTAAAAAAGAAAAATGTTAATTTTAACATTTTTTACATGTCCCAGGAGATCCACTCTAAATTTTAAGTTAAAGTACCTCATTCGTCTTGTGTTATTTATTAACAAACTATTAATGTTAAATACATTTATATTTGTTATTTTGACTTTAAGGGTGATTTAAAACTAACATACAAAATAAGTAGAGTACATAGAAGAGTAGTTGCAGTAACTCGTAAGAAAATGTTAATAAAACATTTTTGTTCGTATATAACGTGAATGAAAAATTCTTAGATGTTAAATTAAATTTGAGATATATAAATTAATTGAAACAATTCCCAGATAGACTTGTATGATGATCACGATATGCACAAATTAATTTACTGAAAATTTAGAACAATTTTATGATCATTTATGACATTGTAAAACCAAACACGTTTATATTAAAGTAAATATAAAATTTAGGTTATTTGAATGATTAGATTTTTTGTTATAGAATTACAAAAACATATGTATGAAAATATATCTTCAGATTTATAATATTCTTTTTTCGACATCACTATACGAAATATTTACATCATATATAATTAAATAAAATACATCATATAATGATGCACATTTACAATTATCATGTGATGCTATAGAAAGCTTAAATAATTTTTTAATTTTTCTTTATTTTATGCCGCATGAAGTACGATAAATATTCTGTAAAATTTGGGTAAACAAATGTCGATTTTGATGTAGGGTAGACCGAGGAGTAAAGGTCCACGGGGAAAAAGGTCCACCCCTTGTATCTCGGTAATAAAGCATTCACTAGAAAATTCCGCCACACAGTTCGTCAACTAAGAGTGAGAATTTTATGTCACACAGTTCGTTACTGTCTAATAACCATCAGGAAACTTGCACGGATGTGCCCATGTGTTTAAGAGCCAAAAGTAAGATATTAGCGCCGCAGTTATTTTGGTCTGAAGGGATCATTTTTGCACCTAGATAGATTAAATAAGTGTATTTATTAATCTTATTCTATTGTTTTAACAGTGTGATTATTAGAATTGTTATTTCTATTATAGTTTTTTAATAACAATGCCGCAAGTTGACTTGTAGGGGTAAAAAGTGCCATGGTTATTGGGGTAAAAGTGCCATGGTTGCTCTGTATTCGTTAATGTTGATTCTATAACAAGTCGATAATCTTATCAGTGAAGTTGACCAATAGTCAACAGTACAAAAAGTTACCGATTACTTTCGATTATCGACTCATTATAGAATTAGCATTAGTGGTGTTCGTTACGCAGAGAGACAGATAAATTATTCAGAATGCGACTTTCA